TCTCCTCCGCCGCAGGCGCTCATGCCGGCGGAGTCGGAGCCGCAGTTATTCAGGATGAGGATGAGGAGGAGGAGGAGGAAAAGGAGGAGGAAGAGAGGGAGGAGGAGGAGGAGGAGGCGGAGGCGGAGGAGGAGGCGGAGGAGGAGGAGGAGGAGGAGAGGAGGAGGAGGGAGGAGGAGGAGGAGGAGGAGGAGGAGGAGGAGGAGGAGGGAGGAGGAGAAGGACGAGGAGGATCCGCACCGCTGCTGTTGCTGCTGGATCTGCTGCTGCTGCTGCGACAGCCCATGCCTCTGGAACTGCTGCCGCTGAGGCTGCTGGCGCTGCTCTGGACGCCGTCAGAATCCTCAAGCAAACAGCGCACCCTGAAGCAGTGAGCATCAGCAATCGCGCTCGGGCCATTAGTATTCGTGGGCGGTAGTCCACGGGCCAGGCCTAGTCTCTCCTGCATGGCCGGGGAAGCGCGTGCGGGAAGAGACACGGATCACGTGTCCAAGATCGGCCTCGGCGGGCCCTTGGCGCGGTCTCGGCGGGCCCATGGCGCCCCTGGCGCGGCCCCGCGTGCCTCCGGGCGGCTCGAGCACGCTTCGGGACGCCTTCAGGGAGCGCCGAAATCGGGCCAAGAGTCCCAACATGGCCCCAGGACGGCCCCAGATGCAGTCCAGACGGCTCGCGGCGGCCAAAAATTCTGGTTCCTGCATGGTTTCAGGTTCTCGCGATTTCGAGCCAAGAGTGGCCCACGGCTCTTGTGGCCCCCCCCGAGCGTTCTAAGGCCGTCCAAGAGCTCCAGCAAGGGCCCCAAGACGGCTCAGGAGGGCTTCAAGACGGCTCCCAAAGGAGCCCAAGACGGCCCAAGAGAGCCCAAGACTGCCCGAGAGAGCCCCCAGGAGTCTCTAAACGGGAGGGCTCACGGAGAGCTCCGAGACAGCCCAAGAGCCCCAACATGGCCCGAAGTCTCCCCAAGAGGCCGTCCAGAAGGCTCGCGGCGGCCAGAAACCATTTATTATTCTTATGTTTCTTAGCTTCAAGACGGCGCGAGAGAGCCCCCACGAGCCCCCGGATGGGCCCCAAGAGCCGCCCAAGATGGGTTACAGAGAGTCCGAGACTGCCCAATACCCCCAATACGGCCCCTACACGGCCCCAGAGGCCGTCCAGACGGGCCGCGGCAAACGATATCATTGATTCTCCTGTGGTTTTTGAAATGTTTCTACCTTCTCGCGATTTCGAGCTCAGACCGGCCCAAGACGGCTGATGGGCCTCCCCCGAGCGCTCCAAAGCCGTCCAAGAGGATCTGGAAAAGTTTCTGCAACCACCCAGGAAGGCTCCAAGATGGCCCAGGTGGCGCCCAAGATGACCCAAGAGGCCCCAAGACGGCCCGAGAGCCACCCGAGACAGCCCCAGGACGGTCCACGAGGCGACCAAGGCGGCCCCAGAGGCCCCCAGGAGGCCGAAAAGACCCCCAAGAGGCCCCTGAACGGCTTCCAGGAGGCCCCCAGAAGAGACTCCAAAGCTGCTCTCAGAACACGGACAGCGTACCAGAGGCGAAAGGCTCACCGCACGCCTGAAGGAGTTGTTTTGCACGCTCTGAGGGCCCTGGCAAACAGGAGCAAGTCGCAGGACCTGCAAGAAAACATCAAGCAGTCATCACGCAAACGGCAAGACGGTGCAGGCTAACCAAATCACGCGCGCATTAGCAATGGAATTGCAGCAAACCGCCGAGCGCAACAAGCCACAGCAGACACACGCTGACATTCTAGCTTTCGTGGGCAGACCCTGCGGGTCAGCCTCGACACTTTGCAATCCTCTAAGATTGCTCCCAGACGCCCCATAAGGCTTCCAAGACGGCCCCAAGACGCCCCAAGCTGGCCCCAGGACGGCCCCAGCGACGCCCATACGGCCCAAGAGAGCCCCAAGAGAGACCGAAGAGCGGCCCAAGGGGCCCAAGACGACCCCAAGACTGACCGAGAGGCGCCCGAGATAGCGCCGGGTTAGCCCAAGAGACCCTCAAGAGGCAAACAGAAGCCCGCAGATGCCCTGGATGCTCGTGCTCGTGGAAGCGTCGTCGTAGAAACGACGAGTGGCGCGATGGAACATCGAGGAGAAGAAGGGTGGAGGGACGGAGAAAGAGAAGGAGGATCCAGCAGCAGCAGGGAACAGACGCAACGGCGAGCAGCAGCAGCAGCAGCAGCAGCAGCAGCAGCAGCAGCAGCAGCAGCAGCAGCAGCAGCAGCAGCAGCAGCCGCAGCCGCAGCAGCAGCAGCGGCACGCGTTGACACCACCAGTGCCAAGCAGCATCCAGCAGCGAGCAGCAGCAGGCAGGCGGCAACCTAGGGGGCCACATGCGAACCCTACCCCTACCCCCCTACGATTTCTGAGGCGGAGGGTGGGGTTCACTTCGCTCGGGAGTTCCCGAGCGAAGTGAACCCCACCCTCCCCCTCAGAAATCGTGGGGGGTAGGGGTAGGGTTCGCATGTCGCCACCTACAACCACCACCAGCAGGCAACACCCGGCACATGCACCAGCTGTGCAGCAGGCCGTTGCCGCGGGCGGGAGCAGAAGAAACAGGCCGGGCGAGAGGCCGCAGGTGGCAACCAGCAGCGCGCAGCAGCAGCCCGCGGCTGCAAAAGGCACCGGGCAGGGGTAAGCACGCCTGCCCAGACACCGCTCGCCGCCTTGAGCAGACGTCGTGGAGGTGGTCCACGGGTCAGCCCAAGTGTCTTCTACAATGCAGCGTTTTCCTCCTCCTCCTCCTCCTCCTCCTCCTCCTCCTCCTCCTCCTCCTCCTCCTCCTCCTCCTCCCCCCTCCCCCCCACGCAAGTGGGCGTAGTCCACGGGTCGACCCCAGTAAGCTACAACGCTGGGCTCAGCGCGTGCGGGAAGGGCGAGCAGTGGCAGCGGTCTCTGGCGCTGCTCCGCGAGATGCGGGAGGCGAAGCTGGAGCCCGACGTCATCTCTACTCACATGCCGGGGCCTGCGTGCCGAGAAAGTGTACAGTGGGGCGATGCGGCGGCCCACCCCCCGGGTCCCTCCCAGGCGATTCCTCGAGGCTCAACGCTAGTTCTGGCGAGACTCCGGGCCGCCCCAGAGGCCTACGGGGTCGCCCAAGATGCCTCCAAGACAGCCCAAGATGGCCTCCATAGGGCCCGAGATGGCGTCCAGACGGCCCAACAGGGCAACAAGATTGCCAAACACTGCCTCAAGACGGCTTAGGAGGCCTCGAAATCAGCCCAAGAGGGCTTCAAGAGGCCATTTAGGAGGCTCGAGGCTGACAAATTCATAGAGTCCCCTTTGTTCTTTCAGAGATTTTAGCTTGCTCGCCTTCTCGGGGCCTCCGACGACCTAGGACGGAGGCCCCCAAGAGGCCCCCAAGAGGACGCCAGCACGCCCCAAGGAGGCTCCTGGGTGCCAAGGAGGTCTCGATGACAGCCCTAAGAGGGGCCCGAGCGGGTTCCAGCGACCTCCAGGACTGCCCAAGAAGCTTTCAGAACGGCCCATGATAGCTTCAAGGTGGCCCACGAGGGCGCCCAGACGGCCGAACAGGGCCCCAAGATTGCCAAATGCATCCTCAAGACGGCTCTGGAGGCCCCAAAGTCGGCCCACGAGGGCTCCAAGAGGCGTTTTAGGAAGGCTCGAGGATGGTACACCTTAGGTGCCCCTGTCCTTTTTGCAAGATCTTGGCGTTCGCGCCCTTCTGGCCTCCCACGGCCCAAGACGGCCCTGACGGCCTCAAGAGCATCCCAACACGGGCCAAGAAGGCCCTGCGATGCCCAAACAGGCCCGCATTCCAGCCCCAAGAGGCCCCAACGGCGCAGCGGCGTGGCAGGAGAGCCTGGGTACACACCAGTCAGCTGCAACGCTGGGCTCAGCGCGTGCGAGAAGGGCGAGCAGTGGCAGCGGGCTCTGGTGCTGCTCCGCGAGATCCGGGAGGCGAAGCTGGAGCCCGACGTCATCTCTTCTGCACGGCAGGGGGCCGTGCGTCCCAGAAGGGCTCCTCCTGCATCGCGGGATTCCTCGGAGCCTCCGGAAAGCCCCTGGAGCCTGAAGAACGCACTGGGCATCTCCCGGAGCAGCCCCGAGAGCCTCGAAAGGCTTTGGGGCGCTCCCGGGACGGACGGCCTTGAGGAGCCCTCGGAGGGCCCCATGGCCAAGACGACGCCGAGATGCCCCCATTGGAGGTTCTACGATCGCTGAGCTGAAGGCCCCAGACAGGCAGAGGTGATGTGTTGTGGAGGCCTCTGGCAGGTGCCGCCGCTCTAGGGCGCTCCCGAGGCTCTTGTCGTGGTCGTTGGCTGGCCGCTGGGCCAGGGGTTGGCCGGCAGCTGTCTTGTTGGCACCTACCCCCTTCCCCCCTCGCATCGTCCTCGTCCCCATCCGCCCCTCCATCGTCGGCCTTCGCTCCTGCGTTCGCGCTCCTTCGACCGAAAACCAAACGACACCACCCCACCTACGGCCCTCCATGCTCCGCTACGGCCCATCGGGCGCCGTAGCTTATCCCACGCCAAAGCCCACGCCAGATTCCCTGGCATACGCTAAGGCCCCTGGTGCCGTAGGTGGGGTGGTGCCGTTTGTTTTCTGGCCCTCTCCCTGCTCTTCGCTCCTCCCGCCGCACCTGTGCTACAATGCCGGGCTCAGCGCGTGCCAGGAGGAAGCGCTGCCACCCTGCCGGGTTCCGCGCGTGCCAGAGGGAGGCGTCGTGTGCGCTCGCTGGTCCCGCGGCGGCGGCGCCTCCGCGGCCCCTCTTCGGGACGATCGGAATGGGTACGGAAAGAATGGGTGCAAAGACCAACAGCAGCTCCTTGTTCATTTTGAACGGGAGTCGCTGTCGGCGTCGCCGCGGCCTGTGTCCACTGAAGACAAAAAACCGCCTGCCCAACAGCGACCGCTGTCGGTCTTGGACAACATTAGCCGTTGGGCATTGTACCCATTCTTTCCGTAATGTCGCGCGTCCAAACCTCTTCTCGTGGAGCGATGCCGTCTTGGCCCAGGAGCGCCTTGCAAGTGCCCCAGAGGGCCCCGAGAGCGCTCCCCTGCAGCGCAAGAGGCCTCCCAGACGGCCCGAGAAGGCTCCTTCCAGGCTCCGCCATGCTCTCAGATGGCCTGAGGGCCACAATGACGTAGACCGAGCGATATTTTAATCTTTTTCGATACTACTCGTACGATCGCTTCTGCGGCCGAAAGACGCCCAGCCCACTTCGAGAAGTTGCACTTCAGCATCCACCCCATGGGCTCCTCAAAGGCCTCTAAAAGCTCCCACCGAACTGCTCTGATAGGCTCCCAAAGAGCACCAGTTCATGAGACAACTACCGTACCCCACACCTCTTGAGACACCTCTCGCGCTCTGCAGAAACTAGTTATCAGATCCAGATCTGGCCACCCGGGAGCGCTGGTTCAACGACCCCTCCCGCGCCGAGCGTGTCCCAAGAGGTGTGCGGTGTCGTTTTTGTTCCCATCATCTTGGGCCTCCTACTTCTCCTCCCCGTCGTCGCTCTCCTCGATCGCCGGCGCTCCTGCCTGCGGAGTCGGAAGCGCACGATTTCCAGGAGGGGGAAGAGAAGGATGATGATGTTGAGGAGGGGGAGGAAGGGGAAGAGGAGCAGGAGGAGGAGGAGGATGAGGAGGAGGAGGAGGAGGAAGAGGAGGAGGATGAGGATGAGGAGGAAGACGAGGAGAAGAAGCAGGACGAGCAGGAGGAGGAGGAGGGGCAGGAGTAGGAGGAGGAGGAGGAGGAGAATGAGGAGGAGGAGGAGGATGAGGATGAGGATGAGGATGAGGAAGGGGAGGAGGAGGAGGAGGAGGAGGAGGAGGAGGAGGAGGAGGAGGGGCAGGAGGAGGAGGAGGAGGAGGCGGAGGAGGAGGAGGAGGAGGGAGGAGGAGGAGGAGGATGAGGAGGAGGAGGAGGAGGAGGAGGGAGGAGGAGGGGGAGGAGGAGGAGGAGGATGAGGAGGAGGAGGAGGAGGAGGAGGGAGGAGGAGGAGGAGGGAGGAGGAGGAGGAGAGGGGAGGAGGAGGAGGGAGGAGGAGGAGGAGGAGGAGGAGGAGTGGAGGAGGAGGAGGAGGAGGAGGAGGAGGGGGGAAGACGTGCAGTAGGAGCCGAATGACGAGGACAGGCCAATCACAACGACCAGGAGGAGGAGGAGCAGGAGGAGGAGAAGGAGGAGGAGGAGGAGGAGGAGGAGGAGGAGAAGGAGGATGAGGAAGTGGGTCGACGAGGACGAGCCAAGCACGAGGAGGAAGAAAGGGCGGAGGAGAAGTAGGAGGAGGAGCTGCTGTTGCTACTGCCCGTGCCCCTGGATCTGCTGCCGCTCATATTGCTAGCGCTGCTCGGGAGGCCGTCATAGTCATCAAGCGAGCAGCGAACCCTGAAGCAATGAGCAGCAGCAAGGGCACTCTGACCACTTTCGTAGACGGTAATCAACTGTTCTGCCCTAGTTAGCTACAACGTCGCGATCAGCGCGTGTTGGAAGGGTGATCAGTGGCAGCGAGCACTGTCGTTGTTCAGCGAAATGTGCAAGGTGAAGTTGGAGCCCAACGTCATCTGTCGTAAACAGGACCGCAGTGCTCTGCACGTCAGAGTTGTGTTGAATTGCATGTTTCGCATTGGATTCTACACTTCATGGTTATGTTTGACTGCGCCAGTTCGAGCTTACGATTTTGATGTGTGAGTCGGGCGTGTGTTTCAAACATTCGCCCTCCTGCCAGCCTCGGTTATTCCCCCTTCATCCCTCCTTCCTCCGCCCTGCCCCTCCCCGTCCCTCTCCTTTTTACTTTGCATCCCCCTGCCCTCCCTCTAACCTCCTCCTCTTCTTTCTCCTCCTTCTCCTCCTCCCCTCCTCCTCCTGCCCCTCCTCCTCCACCTCCTCCTCTACCTCCTCCTCTTCCTCCTCCTCCTCCTCCTCCTCCTCCTCCTCCTCCTCCATCTCTCTTCTACGTCGGCCTCCTCCGCCGCCCCTCTCCCCACCTCCCTCCTCCGCAATTTGCGTCCCCGCCTGCTCCCGCCTCCCTCTGCCCCGCTCGCCCTGCCGCCTCCTCCTCCCTCCTCCGCTCTCCTCCTCCCCGCCCGCTCCCGCCCTCCTCCGCCTCTGCGCTGCTCGCCCCGCCCTCCTCCGCTCTCTGCTCGCCCTGCCTCCCGGCATACCACCATCCTCCACTCCTATGCCGGAAGCCCGACCCCGGGGGCCACAGAGGCCGCAGCACGCACGGGGCACGCTGATCCACGATTCGAGTTCCACCAGCTTTCAGGCCCTGGATTTCTTATCGATGGGTTCCTTGTCCAATGCCCCCACCGTACCACTTGGCTTGGCCACGCGAGCTGGGGGCCCACTTTTGCCCCACGGGTAGTTAGACTTAAGTCGGGCGTGTCCCTCTACAGGAGGGATGTTCAAACATAGTCACAAATTAGTATGGGGACGATTGTTTGACCATTTCGGGAAATGTTTGGAGTATTTTTTTGGAGTATTCAATTTTTCGTCCAACATCCCCCTGTAGGGCCACAGGCCCGACCTACGTAAATCTATGAGTTCCTTGTCAAATTCTTCACCGTACCATCTCGGTGATGGTGGTCAGATTCTGGCTTCCAAGGTGACCGAACTATTACCACCAACAGCGAAATCTAAGATCATCTTCTTCCTGTGGAGGCAACCCCCTGTGTTGGTGTTGGTGCCCGCTTCCAGGCCTCCCATACCACTTGGCTGACGGGGGCGTGTTTGTTGATCATTTTTGGATTTCAGTTGGAGTCGTTTTTTTGAATACTTTCAACTGTTCGTCCAACATCCCCCTGTAGGGGGACAGGCCCGTCCTAAATCTATGGGTTCCCTGTCCAATTCCCCCACCGTGCCAACCCGGTGATGGTGGTAAGAGTTTGGCTTCCAAGGTGACCGAACTATTACCACCAACACCGAAGTCTGGGATCATCATCCCCCTGTGGAGGCAACCCCCTGTGTTGGTGTTGGTGCCCTTTTCCAGGCCTCCAATATCACTTGGCTGACGGGGACGATTTGTTTGAGCAATTATGGAATTGTTTGGAGTCTGTTTCGAATCCAATCAACGTTTCGCCCAACATCCCCCTGTAGGGGGACAGGCCCGACCTAAATCGATGGTTTTCTTGTCCAATTCCCCCACCGTACCATCTCGGTGATAGTGGCTTCCAAGGTGACCGAAACATTACCACCAACACCGAAGTCTGGGATCATCATCCCCCTGTGGAGGCAACCCCCTGTGTTGTTGTTGGTGCCCCTTTCCAGGCCTCCAATACCACTTGGCTGACGGGGACGTTGTTTTGGAACATTTTTTGATTGGTTTGAATATTTTTGGAATGCTTTCAGCTTTTCGCCCAACATCCCCCTGTAGGGGGACAGGCCCGACCTAAATCGATGGTTTTCTTGTCCAATTCCCCCACCGTACCATCTCGGTGATGCTGGTAATATTCTTTTCTTCCATGGTGACCGAAATATTTCCACCAACACCGAAGTCTGGGATCATCATCCCCCTGTGGAGGCAACCCCCTGTGTTGGTGTTGGTGCCTTTTTCAAGGCCTCCAATACCACTTGGCTGACGGGGGCGATTTTTTGACCATTTTTTTTTTTTTTTTTTTTTTTTTGTTGGAGTGTGTTTTGAATACTTCCAACTTTTCGCCCAACATTCCCCTGTAGGGGGACAGGCCCGACCTAAATCGATGGGTTCCTTGTCCAATTCCCCCACTGTGCCACTTGGCTGGGCCACGCCAGCTGTGGGCCCGCTTTTGCCGCATGTGTAGTGGGGATCCAGGTCTCGGTGATGGTGGTCATATTTTGGCTCAAAGGTGACCGACATAGTACCGCAACACCGAAGTCTAGGATCATCTCCCCCCTGTGGAGGCAGCCTCCTGTGTTGGTGCTGGTGCCCCTTTCCAGGCCTCCCATACCACTTGGTTGGCTGACGGGGACGTTTTTTTTTTGTTTGTTTGTTTGTTTTGTTTTGTTTTCTTTTTAGTATTTTTCTTCTTATTTTTATCAGTCGCATTATTATTATATGTATGTGTGTATGTATGTATGTATGCATGCATGCATGCATGCATGTATGTTATATATATATATATATATATATATATATCTATGTATATGTATGATATGATATAATTGCATTGTTTGGGATTGTTTGAGTAATTTTGGGATATTTTCTTTGGGCTATTTTCAGCTTTTCGTCCAACATCCCCCTGTAGGGGGACCGGCCCGACCTAACACTATGGGTTCCTTGCCCACTGCCCCCGCCGTGCCACCTGGCTGGGCCACGGGGCCGGGCCTGCGCGTGCGGCGGGCGGGCCCTCGTCGGGCCGCCGGGCTGCTGCCCGGGCGGGGAGACTCCGAGCCGCCCCAGGGCCTCCAGGGCCACCCAGCAAAAACATGTGTCGGGAATTCCAAAACCAGTTTTTCTTGAATTCAGAAACCAGTCTTTTGAATTCGCCCCCCCAATTTTTTAATGCAAGAGCTCGCTTTCTTGACTTGAAGAAGCAGTCCCCAAGATGGCCCCCAAGGGTTATGATGTTCCCGCCTACTTTAGCCCTGGCCGCCGGGAAGAGTTTCGAGCGCCAAGAAAATACTGAAACTCGAAGGTTTTCACGCGTCGGGCCCTGGGAGACACTCGTCCGACACTGTTTCGACACTGCTTCGATACTTTTCCAGGTGCTCGAAATTATTTCTGGGTTGCTGTTCTTGTGTACGATGGGAGCAACATAATCCCAGGGCCACCCAGACTTATTCCAGAATTCGAAAGGACGGTTTGTGATTTCATTTTTTGAATTCAAAAGCCAGTTTTTTAATTCAAACACAAGTTTTTTTGAATTCAAAACTTAGTTTCTTAATCGAGAACCAGTTTTTTGAATTCAAAAACCAGTCCCAAAGATGGCCTCCAGAGGGCCCAAGATGGCGTCTGGACTGCCCAGTGGGGCCCACAGACGGCCCAAGAGGGCTCCAGGAGGCTGCCGAAGAGAGCCCGAGATGTCCAGACCATTGATCCCACTTGGATTTTGGAAGGATCTTGACTTTGTCGCCTTTTCTGCGCTCCACGACGGCCCACGAGGCCCCCAGTATCGTCCCAAGACGGCCCAACAGGTCCCCAAAAGGGCCCCCAGACAGCCCAAGAGGGCCCCAAGGCGGCCTAAGAGGCCCCCAAGACGGCCCCAAGAGGGCCCCAAGAAGGGGGAACTCGAATTGACAGTTCGCGCCCTCCGCTGCAAGAATACCCCCGAGACTGCCTGCAAGCCCTATAGAGGCCCCCCTGAAGCCCCAGGAGGTCCCCAGGAGGACAAGACTGGGCCCCCAGAGGGCCCGAGAGGTCTCCGAGAGGCCCCAGGACACTCCCAAGACCGCCTCCGAGAGGCTTACGAGGGAAGATCCCCTCGGGGCCACCCAAGAGAGCCCGATGAGACCCGAGAGGGGACCAGATCTTCGGCCACACACGCGCGCCGAGGCCATGGACAGGTTTGTGCGCTGTCCTTTCTCATATGCCTCCATCCTCGCTCCACGCTCCTCGCTCCTCGCCGCTCTCTCCTGGTTCCTCGCCTCTCTCTCTCCTCGCTCCTGGCTCCTCTCCTCCCACTCCTCCTCGCGTTTCCCACCTCTCTCCCGAGGCCCTCGCTTCTGCCTCCTGGCTGCTGGCGTCTGCCTCCCCCCTCTCTTCGGCTCTCCTTCATCCCTCCTTGTCTCTCTTGCTCTGTCTCTCTCTCTCTCGCTCTGTCTCCTCGGCCGTCGCTCTTCCCTTCTCGCTCCTGGCTGCTCGCTGATCGCTCCTCCCTTCCCCTTCTCCCCCCTCGTCCCTGACTCCTCGTTCCTTGCTCATCGCTCCCTGGTCCACTCACGAGCTGCAGGTTGCGTCAGTTAGCAAGGGTACCCCGAAACAGCACCCTGCAGCCTCAAGCAGCAACAGTGAGCAACAGCAGTTCGCAGCAAGCAGCGGCAGCACGCAGCAAAAGTAAGCAGCAGCAGCAGCAGCAGCAGCAGCAGCAGCAGCAGCAGCAGCAGCAGCAGCACCAGCAGCAGCAGCAGCAGCAGCAGCAGCAACATGCCGCAGGCAGTACCCTGCAGCTGCAGGCAGCAACAGCAGATGCCAAGTTTGGGCCCCAAGTCATGACGAAAGCCCTTCGGCAACATCTCTGCCATGGCCCAACGTGCCATCTGTGACAGAATTCGTGGCCAGCAGGCCACGGGTACATACTAGTCAGCTACAGTGTTGGGCTCAGCGCGTGCCAAAAGGGAGATCATTGGCAGCTGGCTCTAGCGCTGCTCAGCGGGATGTTGGAGGCGAAGTTGCATCCCAACGTCATCTGTACTACACATGTGGGCCGGGATACCATGAGGCCGCACAGACGTTGTGATATCCAGACAGCCCCATCAGATGTTGTGTTCGACCGCGCTGCGTTGTATCCTCCGTGCCGTGACTCCGGTCTTTCAGATGATTCGATACACCATTTTGCGTGATGTCCACGAGGTTGCTATGTGGAGGCCGAGGCCGTCTTCCGAGCCGTCGCGCGTTGCCTCGTTCGCTGTGTAATTCATTATTGCGTGGTGTGCGTGCGTTCACGTCAAAGCCGTGAGGCTAGCGGTTCTAGGCTTCCACGGGAGCCTACCATTTTATCATCACGATGATAAGCCCCTCCTCAGGGCCCTGGGTGTTTTTTTTTTTTGCACGGATGGAAGTCACAGGACCCCAGACGGCCTAGGATTCCCAAGAGGTTCCGAATACGTTCCAGGACCATGCAGCAGGAGTAGCAGCAGCCATGGGCAGCCATCATCAGGTAAAGTAATTGGCAAGTCACAGAAGCAAGCGGTAGCAGCAGACAGTGGTACCATTAATCAGTTGCAACACGTAACAGCCGCAAATAACATTACCATCAGCTGCGAATAGCCCGCAAGCAAGCAAGCACGCAGCAGGGAGCAATCAACAGCAACACATCATATTCAAGCAAGTACCAGCCAACTGGTCACAGGACTTGTCAGCAGTTTGCCGCATGAGGCAGCAATTACCAGCAGCAGCTGCAGCTGTCGGCGGCGACCAGCAGCAATCGAAGCAGGCCGCAGCAGATCTATGGAGCAAGCAGCCAGCAGCATGCAGCAGCAAGGTGCAGCAACTGGCGGCCACGGGCAGCAAGCAGCTACGAGCGGCACCGAGCAGCAGCAAGCGACAGCAAGCGAAGGCAAACGGTCGCGACCCAACAAGCCGTGCTGGTGCCTCGGTACCGCAGACACGCTTGTCCTTTCAGATGGTTTGTTGCGCCGTGCTCGCTCTTTGGTGCCCGTCTCGCCCAGCCACGAGCAGGCCAGCCGTCTCAGATGCTTCGATCTGCTCTGCCGTGCTGCGTTTTCCGTACTGTCCCCCGGGCAAGTTTGGCTTTCATCTGTGTTGTACCATGCTATGCTGTGCCCGCCGTCATGCTGTATCGCGAGCCAGCTTACCTTGTCAGATCTGTTGCGTGATTCACTGTGCCCGACCCCTGCGTGCGAGTGAGAGCCTGCGTAAGCGATAGTCCATGGGGCAGCAGCAGTCAGCTACAGCGCCGGGGTGAGCGCGTGCGAGCGAGGAAAGCAGTGGGAGCGGGCACTGACGCTGCTCAGAGAGATGCGGGGGGCCAGGGTAGATCCCGACGTCGTCATCTACAGCGCTGCGGTCAGCGCTTGCAGGTCAGGCGAGCAGTGGGAGCGGGCCCTGGCGCTGCTCAGCGAGATGAGGGAGGCGAAGTTCCGGCCGAACGTTGTCTGTACCACAATTCTTCTCGTTGCGCGTGCGAAAGGGGGGGATCAGGTCGCGAGGTGCCCCCGAGCGCCTGGAGCGCCCCGCCGCTCTCGGACGGCTCCAGAGAGCCCCCAGATGGCTCCAAGACGGCCTCAGGCAACCCCACTACCGCTCCGAGACGCTCGGGATGGCGAGAGGACGTCCCAGGAGAACCCGAACAAAGCCCCATGACGGCCCAAGATTTCTCGACGACGGGCCAAATGCCTCTGAAGACTGCCCAGCCAGACCTCGATGACCGTCCCCCGAGGCCAAAATCGTGGATTCCCGCTGGGTTTCCAAAGGTTTCCCGTGTGCTCACCATTTCGGGCCACAAACGGCCCCAGACGGCTGCAGGGCCACCCCAGATCGCCCCAAGACAGTTCAGGAGGCCCCACCAAGCGCCCCAAGACGGCCCCAGAGGGATCGATGATTGCCCAAGAGAAGCCCAAGACAGCCTCATAGAGCTCCCTGTGGCCCTCAAGCTCCAAGTTTGCCCTGGGAGCTGCCCAGCAGGCACCAGAGCGAGTTCCAAGACGGTCCGAGACCCCCAACATGGCCCCAGGCAAGGCCCCCCGGGACGGCCCAAGAGGGCCCAGGAGGACCCCGATGACGGCCCCACGAAGCGAAAAAACAAGCTGAACCCAACCATTTTCCAAGGTTTTCCACGTGCTCCCCTTGACGGGCCCAGAACGGCCCCACACGGCTCCATGTCCTTTCAAGATCGCACCGAGATGGCCCAAGAGGCCCGCACGGGCCCACCAAGACGGCCAACGCAGGTCCAAGACGCCTCACCTAGCTTCCGGTTGCCCCCCGAGACGCCCCATTGGGGCGCCCCAGGAGCTCCTCAGGAGGGCCCAAACAAGACTCCCAGACGGCCTGAGACCCTTACCATGGGCCGAAGATGGCCCAGGGTAGCCCCAGTACGGCCCAACAGGGCCCTTGAGGACTCCGAAGACGGACCTATGAGACCAGAAATCAAGCAACACCTTATTTGTTTTCCCATGTGTCCCACACTCTCGCTATGACGGGCCTATGTAGCTTCGGGCATTTCTGCGATCGCCCCACGATGGCCCAAAAGGCCCCGATGATCGCAACAAGACGGCCCCAGAGGGCCCCAAGCCGGCCCAAGACAGGCCCCCGACGGCTTTGTTTGTTTTTGTTTTGGACCTCCCACGCACGCAAGCTCTGGGCGAGCTCCCGCGAACGGCACTCGAGGCAGTCGCACTACCGCCTCCGCACTCCCTGTCGGAGTGCCCGCTGTGCGCGGCGCGAAGCGCACAGATTATTGAGGCGGAATCATCACAGTGCAACAAAGACTTCCCGAAGACAACTTCACGCACAGGCAGGCACCAGAAGCTGCGCAAGAGGGCAGGAGGACGCCTGAGAAAGCCCCGTGAGAGGACGGAGAGGACCCCCGACAGATACCAGCCCCCCCCGTTGTAGCATACGTCGGGTGCTCCCTGGAGGGCCGCACGGAGCCCCGTCTCGGCCCCGGCTTCGGCAGACTTCGGGCCTTCCCGAACGAGCCCCGCCGGATGCTACAACACCTTCCCCCCTGTAGCAGCATCCGTCGGGGGCCCCCATCCGTCCTCACGGAAGCTCGCTCTCTGACAGCAGCCTCGCAGCACGCACGCGCGATCAATTTCCCGGGCTGTCCCCCAGGGTTGTCCCCCAGGGCTGTCCCCCAGAAGCTCTGGGGGACAGCTCGGGAACGGCCCCAGAGGCGCCCGAAAGTGGCAAGAGGCCTTCAAGACGCCCCAGACGGGCTCGCAGGAGGGCCCAACATGCCCCGACACGGCCCCAGGGACGCCCGAGCTGTTCAGTTTCGACGAGCTGTTCACCCACGGTGTGCGAGTCCCAGGTTCAGCACACGTGCATGTAATCCACGGGTTCGCACTACTCAGCTACAGCTCTGGGATCTCCGCGTGCGAGACAGGAAAGCAATGGGAGCGGGCCCTGGCACTTCTGAGCGACATGTGCGATGCAGGACTGGAGCCCGACGTCATCAGCTTCAGTGCTGGGATATCCGCGTGTGAGAAATGCGAGCAGTGGCAGTGGGCCCTGGCGCTGCTCGGCGAGATGCGGGCGGCGAAGTTGGAGCCTAACGTCATCTTCCTTTTTGAAAAGTGGGATCCCGCGCGTGCGAGAAAGGCCTGGCGCTTATACGAGTTTTCTGACACCCCCGACCCCAGAGCCTGGCGAACGCCACTGGCGCTTCCCAGAGCAGTTCTGGGGGCGGGAGGGCGTCTCGACGCGCTCTGCGATGGCCCCGTCAGGGGCCCCGGCAGCCGACAGGCGAACATGGTGAAGCTTGTTTAGGTTTTTGGACAGCCTTCGCTAGGTGGGAAGCGGGTCCAGAGGGAAACGGGCCCTGAGATGTTTCTCCGTTTTCGGGCTTCCGGGGCCCTCCACGGGCTGTGGGACAGTTCGAAGACGACTCAGGATGGAGATCTCCTCCTGGTGAAGGCCCCAGGGTCCAGGACCCGTTTCCCACAGGACCCGCTTCCCCCATGCAGAAATCAGGAGGGGAAAAAACACACAGACACAATTAATCATATGGGACGGGGGGCAGAAGACGCAAACCCAGGAAATATAGGAGAAGTATAGGGAGTCCTGCTATTTGTGTCTACTTATTCGTGTGTCCCAGGGCCCCTTCGAAGAATTCACCACGCTCGGCGTGTCGGCGCCAGGTGGCTCCACGAAAGGGCCCGAGACGCCTCCGGGAGGGCCCCTCGGGCCCACCGGGAGCTCCCGGGATGGCCCAGGACCTTGACCTTCCAGGAGGGCCAAAAAATAGCACCAGGACCTCGACATCTAAATTCCTGTCGAGGTTTTTGGGCAGTTCAGATGATTAGGTCTGGAGTGCTATTTTTTAGCACTCTGGAAGGTCAGGGGATACGCCCCCCCAGCACGGCCCGAGGCGGGCCGTGCAGCCCTCCAGGAGGGCCCCCAGATGGCCCGAGGACTGCCGAAGCACTCCCCGAGAGGGCCCCGGCGGCGCCCTCATGGCGCACCACGCGCGAGCTGCCGGAGGGGCGCCCGCAGGGCTCCGGGAGCCAGGGAGGAGCTTCCCTTCGGCGGCACTCCAGCATGCTCCCGGTATATGCGTGGAGGACGATCAGAATGGAGAGGAAGCATGTTGCCAAATTCGCCGGCCCAACGGCCCCCCCTCCCGCCCCAAGGGGCCCCCAAGAGCCCCCTAAGAGGCCCCAGGGGAGCCCAAGACGCCGCCAAGGAGCCCCAAGACGCTCCCAAGAAGCCCCCAAGAGGCCCCCAAGACGGCCCCAAGAGGCCCCAAATAGCGCTCCAGGGCCGGCGGAATGAGCGAAGCGATTCAATATCTTCCAGATGTCTAAGGCATGTAAACACATATATTATAATGCGCAAAACATGATAAACAAAAAACATGTTTAGAACATGTTTCCGATTTTTTGAACACATTTTAATTCAAGGATCGGACTGTTAGTGCGTACATTGTCGTGGCATCCACAATGCTATATGCGCGTCGTCCCCCCGGGGGCGAGGCGCGCACCGAGAAATCTTCTAGTATGTGTGTCGTGGCGGCCGCTTTCTGACCACACCGCTCGGGAAACGGTATACTACAAGATGGGTCCACTGTCTGTTCGGGTCGGACGCGCGCCTCCAAGGAGGACATAGAGTATTAGAATGTCTCTGTGCGTCCCATCCATGGGAGCCCAAGAAGCCCGGAATACGGCTAGAAAAAGAAATTGCAACGCTGGCATCATAGAAGAAGAATCAGAAGAAAACGCCATAAGCATAAAGTGTTTGGCGCTCCGCGCGGATTTCTTGCATCCGCGCTGTGCCCCCCTGGCGGCGCCTCCGGCGCCGCCCGCGGCGCGCTCCGCGCGCTAGGTGGGGGGGGGCCCAGCGCGGATCCAGGAAATCCACGCGGAGCGCCAACGGTTTATGTTTATGGCGATTCTTCGTCTTCTTCTTCTTCTTCTTCTTCTGCTTCTTCTTCTAAAGAAGCCCGAGATACGGCTAGAGAGAGAAACCGCCACGCTGGCATAAAGAAGGGCCCCCCAGGCGGCGCCTCCGGCTCCGCCTCTGGCGCGCTTCGCGCGCCAGGGAGGGGGGTCTATGGTTGGCGACCCGCAGGCAAGCAGGGAATCCAGCCTTACGCCTGCGTGCGATGAGGCCTGGGACTCGATTGTCCCATTGCGGCCCTCAGGTGGCCTCCCGGGGCGCCTGGAGGCCACCCAGGAGCCCCATGAGCTGGCGACCAGATGTGCCGCCACGACCGCTCGAGAGGGCCCCTAAGACGGCTCACTATGGCCTGCAAGACGGCTCCAGAGGCCCCGAAGACGCTCCAAGACGGCTCACAGAGGACCCGCACTATGGCCTCCCGGCGCAACAACTTTATAACATGCGTTCACATGTTTTTGAAGGATTTCCGCCTTCTGGCTGTTTCGTGCCTCCGAGGTTTCCCCAAGGCCGTCCACAAGGCCTCCATACGGGCCCCCAAGATGTCTCCAAGACACCCCGAGATGCCTCCGAGACGGCCCGCGGGACCCCAAGACGGCCCCAGAGGTCCCGAATAGGGCCCCAAGAGGGGCCCAAGACGGGGAATTCGAGCTGACCTTTAGAGCCCTCTCCCCCAACTGGCCGCCGAGACGGCCGGCAGGCCTCCAGGGCGCTCCCAAGAGCCCTCCAGAAGCCCTGAAGAAGGCCCCAGAGGCCCCCCAGAGGCACCAGCGAGAGGCACAGGTTCTCTCGGCCATAGGAGCGTGGTGGCCGCGGGACGTTCCTCGAGAGTCCCGTTCCCCTCATCGCTCCGTGCTCCGTGCTCCGTGCTCCGTGCTCCTCCTCCTCCTCCTCCTCCTCCTCCCTCCTCCTCCTCCTCCTCCTCCTCCTCCTCCTCCTCCTCCTCCTCCTCCTCCTCCTCCTCCTCCTCCTCCTCCTCCTCCTCCTCCTCCTCCCTCCTCCTCCTCCTCCTCCTCCTCCTCCTCCTCCTCCTCCTCCTCCTCCTCCTCCTCCTCCTCCTCCTCCTCCTCCTCCTCCTCCTCCTCCTCCTCGGCTCGCCCCTCCGCGCTCCTCCTCCTTCGACCACTGCACTTCGCTCCTCGTCTACTGCTCCTCATGGTTGTCTGGTTCTTGTGGCTCTCTCTCTGCCTCTCTGTCTCGCGTCGATCCTGGCTCGTCTGTTCTGGCGCATCCTCGCTGCTCGCTCGTCGCCCTTACTCATCATCCCTCGCTCCTCGCTTCTCCCTCCCTCCTCGGCCGCCTCTCCACACTCTTCACTACCCTGAAGTCGGGCATGTCTCTCTACAGGAGGGATGTTCAAGAATAGTGAGAACATTGTTTGGGTGACGATGTTTCGTGCGCTTGTGCTTAGTCTGAACACATCTGTCATTTTACACATCCGCCTGTAGGAGGGCATGCCCGACATACTCCTCGGCTCATCTCGCTCCTCATGCTCATCGCTCCTCTCTTCTTACACTCTCCTCGCAGCAGTAGCCCCATGCAGCGAACAAGGGGTCAGGCGCGCAGGCCAGCATGCATGCAGGTAGGCAGGTGAGAGCGCTGTCAGATCAGACGGCTAGCAGCCACACGGTCATGGTAGCACTCACAGGCAAGCATGCGAGCGATCCTCGCCCTCGTATGCGAGTAAGCTCGAGTGGACATTAGTCCACGGGTCGGCCCTAGTCATCAGCTACAGCGCCGGGATCAGCGCGTGCGAGAAAGGCGAGCAGTGGGAGCGGGCCCTGGCGCTGCTCAGCGAGATGAGGGAGGCGAAGTGTGAGCCAAACCCTATCTGTTTCGGGTCCTTGGGGACCCCACCCTCACGTTTCTCAGAGAGGCTGACACACGCGAAACCGGGCTCACGCCGTTCGATACCAACGCACTTCATCCGCGAATCCTCCCTCGGCTTGGGACATGTCCAGGGAAAAACGAGGACGAAGAGGAAGTGGAGGATGAGGTGGCGGCTCATGAATGTTGGATGATATGGAGCGGGCAGGGCCATACCACAAATCAGAGGCACGATAAGTGAGACGCACATCATTGCGACTGAGGTGCCCAGGCAGTTTGAAAGACGTGACGCTGTCTTCGCGCTTTGCGCGCATTCCCGTCTTCGCGTTCTCGTCAATTTCCCTTCTTTTGAAAGCAAGTATCTTTGGCACCACCTTCATCTGTCCGTCATGTCTTTGATCTACGGGTTCATCCTTGTCAGTTACAGCGCTGGAATTAGCGCGTGCGAAAAGGGTGAGCAGTGGCAGCGGGCCCTGGCGCTGATCAGCGAGATGTGGGATGCCAAGATGGAGCCTGACGTCGTCTAAACTGTATTGGTCGCTGCAGCGCGTGAGAGACAGTTCACAGTCGACCGATTTTGGGGGCCCTCGTCCGTCGCCAGGGCGTCCCTCATTCGGCCCGGGAGCAGCCCAAGATTGCCACGCGTCTGGCCAAGACGGGGCTAGGATCCTAACTGGCGGCCCCAGAGGCACCGAAGACTGCCCCAGAAGCCCCAAGAGCCCGCCTTAGGCACACGGAGCCGCCCAACTGGAGGCCCGAACGAACACTCGAGAGAGAGAACGACCCACCCCTACGCCCACCAGGATGTTTTTTACATTCCTTCCTGGAGTGCTTGTGGACTTCGTCGGCACGCCCCCGCGGCGACGAGTGTGAGTCGCGACGTTTCCGGGTTTGACAGTTCGTGTTATAAGCGTTTCTTCGCTTGTATAAACCGTTCTTGCGTGTTTTGAAAGCACGTTTCTGCGTTTATAGAGTTGCGCCGTTGCACGCGCGCGATTACACGATTTGAGCATTGTTCCAGGCAGCTGTGTGCGCGGCAGTTTCTTCATGACAAAATTGTGGGCGCTTGCCAAAAGCGTTCTTGTTTTATAATGATGTGTGTTCCCTGCCCTCGGCGGTTCCATTTTGCGCAAGTTGCCAGGGGCCTTTATTCGGGCACGTGCAGCTGACGACGGCCGTCGGGCCACAGACTCTCAAGAGAAGCCTTGAACATGGAAAATGTGCTGTGGTGGTATGTGGATGGCTCAGGTCGCCTGCCGGCACTGGACAGCAACTACCGAGAAACATACGGTCCGATGTTGCCCAGTTTCCATGCGCAGATGGTTCCGATAGACTCGTGGATGTTACAGAGGGCTCCACAGCTCCCCCAAGAAGCCCACACCATGGCCCGACACGACCCCAACAGGGCCCCAAGGCGGCGTTGCCTGCGGGAGCACCAGGGCGGCCCAAGACGGCGCCCCGACGCCTCAGCCAGGCCAAGCCGGCCCCAGACGGCCCGTATCCAAGTGACTCCATCAGGGTTCCAAGACGCTTCAGGACGACCCAGGAAGCCTCCATGGGTTTCATAAGCCGGAGCCCTTCAGCAGCAGCAGCAGCCGAGATCAGCAAGCAATTGTGAGCAGCAGCAGCAGCAGCAGCAAGCATAGCCAGCAAGCAGGTCCAGCAGGCCGCAGCAGCAGCCAGCAGCAGCAGCTAGCAACGGCATCAACCAACAGTAGCAGCACGCAAAAGCAAGCTGCAGCAACATGCCGCAGTGAACATCAACTGACAGCATGTGGCATCAGCAAGTAGCAGGACACAACACCAAGCAGCAGCAAGCAGCAGCAACTAGCGGCAATCAGCAGCAAACAGCGGCACGCCGCACCAATCGTCAGTTGAGGAAGAGCAGTAGGAGTGGGAAAAGAGGCGGGGACGGAGGAGTCCTCTGGCACCCTTCCCGAGTGGCTCCCGCATAACCCAACCAGCCCATCTCGCGATTGCGTTGCGTGTTGCAGGCTTGCGTGCGACAAACCTGTGGAGTCGCCGTCGTAACCAATAGAAACCATTTGAAATCGGTGAGACATGCTGCACCAGTCAGCTACAGCGCTGGTGCCAGCGCGTGCGAGAAAGGTGAGCAGTGGCAGCAGGCTCTAGCGTTGCTCAGCAAAATGCGGGAGGCGAAATGCAATCCCGACGTCATCATCCTCAGCGCTGTGATCAGCGCGTGCGAGAAGAGCGGTCAGTGGCAGCGGGCTCTGGCGCTTCTGAGCGAGATGTCGGAGGCGAAACTGGAGCCCAATGTGAGCTCTTTCTTCCACAATGCCAGGAGCGCCGCGTGTCAGAAAGGTACCGCAATCCGATGACGACGACTACGGCGACGGCGACGACGACGGCGGCGACGACGACGACGAACGACGAACATCGAACGACGAACGACGAACGACGAACGACGACCGACGAATGACGACGACGACGACGACGACGACGACGACGACGACGACGACGACGACGACGACGACGACGACGACGACGACGACGACGACGACGACGAACGACGAGGCCCGCAGGCCCTTGCGCGCTGCCGGCAACCTCTGGGTCGCTCTAAGACGGCCCAGGAGTCGGGTATAGCAAGGACCCCAGGTAAGGGGACCCGGTTAGTAGCAGAGCCCCAGTGTCCTTCAGTGGGCCAGAACCACTAAACAAGGTCTGCCGTGGCCGGTGCTCTTTCGGGTGACGGCAGTTCCGGTCAGTGGAACGGGGCGGGGGGGGGGCTTGTACACATCACTAAACCAGGTCCCACGAAGCCCAGTTCTGCCACCTCCTCCTCCTCCTCCTCGCCCGAAGGAGCTGCAACATGCTGCAAGAGGGGCGCTGGACCGCCCGAGGGTGTTCCAAGACGGCGCCCGAGAGCTGCAAGAGCGCCCCAGGGCGGCCCAAGGTGGCCCCACCGCGCCCCGAAGCGGCCCAAAGGGGACCCCAGGGAGAGCCTCCAGGCGCAACGCCGCTTGCTGTCCTCATGGTCTTCCAGACATGTTCGTGCCTCGCTCCCTCGAGTCTCGGATCGCCAATCGCCAGTGCTCCGAGCGAGTGTTGTGTTTATCCTCCGTGCCATAACGCGCGTTATGCCCCCTCCCCCCCCCGCTCCCCCCAGAACGTAACTGCCGCAGTGTGTCCGGCACCACAGTCTGGCTGGGCCAAGCTATCGGAGGATGCCTCCTGGGAGCCTGCTGGAGCACTCGTGGGGCCTGCTTGGGGGGCACCTTGGAGGCCTCTTGGGGGCCACTTCGGGGCCGTGGGGCCCCCCGAATGATGATGATGATGATGATGATGCTGATGATGATGCTGATGATGATGATGATGATGATGATGATGATGATGATGATGATGCTGATGATGCTGATGATGATGGTGATGATGATGATGATGATGATGCTGATGATGATGATGATGATGATGAGGAGGAGGAGGAGGAGGAGGAGGAGGAGGAGGAGGAGGAGGGGCCCCTTGGGGCCCCTTGGGGCCTCCTTGGGGCCTCCTCCCATCACGCCCGCTATGGCCGCGAAGAAAGAAACATTCGCCCCAAGGCGTTCCCGCAGTGCGCCAGGTCGGCCGCAGCGTGGCCCCCCCCCCCCCCCAAGACGGCCCACCGGGAGGCCGCCGGTGGGCCCCGCGCGACGGCCCCCCCCGGTCAGGCGGCCAGGGGGGCCGCCCTGGAGCACGGCTCCGCCGCCACAGGCCGAGCGCCGCCCACGGGCACCAGGGCGCCAGGGGCGGGCCCCCCAGGGGATCCCCCGAAGCCCCGCGGACAGGGCCAAGGGAGGCCTCCGGCTTGGCCACGGGATAGCCCCGTGCGCGGCCCAAGAGGATCCCGAGCGTTCGGCCGCGCGCGCCGTCCATACATGCACGCCGCGCGCCCTCCGCGCGCACCAGGGGGCCGCCCAGGCAGCTCCAGGACGCCAGGGTGGGCCCCAAGAGAGATCCCCAGAATCGGCGGCGAGCGAGGGGGCGGGGGGGAAGCGGGGGGGGGCGGGCCTCCTCAGAAGGCTCAGAGGCCCCCGGGCCTTCGGAGAAGTGTCCTGGGCCTTCCCCGAGGGCACAGAGAGCCGCGCAGGAGGCGCGAGGGCCTCTGCGAAGTCCTGCCCCCTCCCGAGAAGGCCTGCCCCCTTCTCGCTTCCCCCCCTCGCTCGCCGCCGGCAGACGCCCCGCGGAGGGGCCCAGGGGGGCCTCCCAACGGGCCGCGGGATAGCCCCCCTGCGCGGCCCGAGAGGATCCCGAGTGCTCGGCCGCGCCTTCGCGTCGAGAACGCCGAGGGCTTGGCGTGCTCCCCGCTTCTCTCGCTGCGGAGCCCGCGGGCCCTGCGCGCAGGGTCGCACTCCGCGGCCCTCCCGCCGAGCGGCCTCGGCCGCAGCCGAGATGCCGCGAGCGGGTAGTGTTGAGTCAGACCTATCCCTCTACACGAGGAATCTTCAAACATAGTCTAACAAATAGTCTGGGGACGATTTTTTTAAACGTATTTGTTACAATCATTTTGGAGTATTTTTGGTGTTTTTTGTATGTGTCGTCCAAGATCCGCCTGTAGGGGGACATGCCCGACCTAAGGGTAGTGTGGGGGGGGCTCGGCGTTCGTGGCCGCCGCGGTCATGCCGATCGGATCAGGCTGCTTGCCGCGGACGTCGTCCACGGGCGCCCTGCCCTGGTCAGCTACAGCGCTGGGATCAGCGCGTGCGAGAAGGGCGGTCAGTGGCAGCGGGCCCTGTCGCTGCTGAGCGAGATGTGGGAGGCGAAGCTGGAGCCCAATGTCATCCGTATTACAATTCCGAGCGAATCGGGAAGTCGCCGACCCGAATCTCTATCCCGTCACTTGCCTACGTGGGCCCACGACACCCCATGAGGCTCCCGGGTAGCCCCAAGCCTGGCTCAGCGCCGAACCGACACAGCCCAGCTGGGTCCAGAGTCACAAGACGGCCCAGGAGGTGCCCAGGGCGGCCCCCGGACGGCCAACGGAGCGCCACAGGACGTCCGCAGATGGGCCCAGACAGATCTGGATGAAACCACACATTTTTTCAAAAACTGCAAACAAAAATAATAATACACAAACAACAGATGAAAGAACACATACATATCTTGATGAAGCCAAGACGCTGCTTATTTCCGCAAGGCAGCACCAAGATCGCCCCAAGATCGCCTATGAGGTGCGCACGAGGCTCCACGGCGGCCACGAAACGGTTTCTGACAGCCGATGGCGGCCAAAGAGACCCCAGGCAGTCCAGGGTACCACAAGACGGCCCAAATTGCCCCAAGAGATCCCCGGAAATATTCTAGACCGCCCAGCAACAACAGCCAGCATCACCGCAGACAGAGTAAGCAGCTCTCGGCATCGGTAGCTACTAGCGAGCGATATCATGTAAGAGCAGGCAGCAGCAACAGCCGCAGCAGCAGCAGCAGCAAGCGACAGCAAGCGGCAGCAACCAGCAGCTTACGGCAGCAATGGGCAGCAATGGGCAGATAGCGGTATCATGCCAGGAGGTTGCGCCGTTGTACTGCTTGTCTTTGACGCCAATCCACGCTCCAGCCTTCGTGCTCCCTGCATAATACCAGGTGCCGCGCGCGAAATCTGCGAGCAGTACCCCCTGCCCCCCGAAGGCGGAATCGGCTCCCCACGGCCTACTGGCGAGCCCAGATCCCCGAGGACCCCGACGAGATCCCGAAGAGACCCATGAGAGAGCCCTCAGAGTGTTCAAGTGCTCTGCGGGGGGCTCCAATGTGGCCCAACGGGCTTCAAAACTGCCCCCAGACGCCCGAGGGGCCTCAAGATGGTCTCCTGAGAGCTCCACAGGGCCCTGGGAGGAGCCGCGGAGACCGCCCACGAAGTTCAACAAACTAGTGGAAAGCCAGCAAGAGCTTGCACAGTTCCTGGCATCCTCACAGGAGCGCTTCGAGAGGGGTTCCGCAGGCCTCCGACTTCGCCGAAGAGACCCCCCAAGACGTTGCAAGAGGGCCCCCGGCGCTCCCGCGATGGCTCAGGACTGCTCTGCCTGGTCTCCAGGCTGGCCCTTGGGGCAGCTCCATGACGGGCCAAGGCCGCCCAACATGGTCCCAGGAGCACCTCAGATTGTCCCTCCGCCTCCTCCTCCTCCTCCTGCATTCTCGCCTCCTCCTCCTCCTGCTCCTCCTCCTCCTCCTCCTGCTGCTCCTCCTTCGGAGCACCGAGTAACGCCCCAGCAGCCCCGAGGTCCCACGAGGGGCTCAAGAGAGCCCAGACCAGCCTGACGCGGGCCCCCTGTGGGCTCCCAGATGGCGCCAGGACGCCTGCACAGCGCTCCACAAGGCCCCGAGAGGAGCTGCGGATACCTGCACGACATGCAACATGCTGGGAGCTTCCCTTGTCTACCATTTCTCACATTCCCCCTCTTCCCTCACAAAAGCGTCTCCAGCTTGGCTGCACAGGCTCCCGACGGCGCCAACGAACCCCTCTATGACTTCCCAGAGGGGGCCCTATGCGCTCCCGAGGTGGCCCAGGGCTGCCCTGCCTCTCCCTCAAGCTGGCCCCAAGGCGCCGCCAGGACGGCCCAAGACCGCCCCCACAGATGCCCAAGAGCTCCCCGGAGTGCACCCACGGCCTTCACAAGTGGCCCCGAGGGGGCCGACGAGGGCCCCAAGAACGCCCGAGCCGGCCTCACGCAGGCTCCTGGCGGCTCCGAGATGGCGCTCCAGGAGCGCCAGCGGAGCGCGCCACAGGGCCCCCAAGAGCCGCGGAGACCCTCCGCGAAGTTCGACATCGTGAGAACTACAGCGCGGCCTTCCCGCTGCTGAAGATCACTGCTGCCACGTCCGCCTGCCTCCCCTCCCGACGCCGCTGCTCTGGCGCGGGCCCTCCCGACGCGCCGGGGCGGAGGGAGGGCTCCGCCCTCCCTGACGCTGCCCGGCCCGCGGCGGGGCACGCGGCCTCTCGTGGCGAAAGCGCCCACCACGTGGGAGCATCCGCACTGGCTGGCACTGCCCGGCGTCCCCTCAATGAAGGTTTCGAGAGGGGCCCCCTCCGGCCTCCGGCATCGCTGACGGGGCCCGCGCGGACGCCCAGATCGAGCATAGCCACTCCTGGGGGCCCCTGCCCGCCTTCGCAAGGCTTGGCTTCTGTGGTGCGCTCGTGTGCGCCAGCGTCCGGTGATCGGTGAGAGAGCGCCGTGCAGCGTCGCCTTCGTGCCCATTGGCGTCGGCTTGCGCCGGGCAGCGTCGGCAAGCGTCGGTTCGCAAGCGCCAGCAACACATCGCGCGGGAGGCTCCCAGGAGCTGCCACGGGATTTTGTGCGAGGGCCCCAGGCGGCTCAAGGATGGCCCAAGGCCGCCCCCAGCCTATGCCCGACGGCTCCCCAGCCTGCCCACGCGCCCCACATGTGCCACCCAGGAGCCCAACGTAGCCCCGAGGGGGCCCACGGGGGCCCCGAGGGAGCCCGAGAGAGCTTCACGCAGTCTCAGTCTCCGAGCGGTGCCCAAGCTGACCCCGAGAGCGCCCCAAGATCGTGGCGTCGTCGCAGTCGATGCAGAATGCAGAGCTCCCGAGTTTTTCCACATTGAGTGCATAGCCCCCCAGTCTACGAGATTACCTGCTGCCAGTGGTACGCACTAGCCGCTTAAGCATTGCAGGCCCCAGCGCGTGGCAGAAGGTTCATGGATGAAGAAACCGCTGGAGTTTTTTGAAAGCCTGAGAATTGGCCCAGGCGGTCCTGGCGCGACCGTGGACAGTATAAGTCGGCTCGAGTGGGTCCCAAGAGGGACCCAGGACGGCCCAAGAGGGGCTTCAGACGGCCGAAGAGTGCTCGCATACGACAAAAGACAGATGGTATCCAGACGGCCCAACAAGCTTTAAGAGACAGGCTCCACAAGCACCCCAGAGAGACAGGCTCCACAAGCAAGAACGGTTGACCCATATGTTGCCCTAAGGATGCTCATAGGTTCGCTCCTCAGAGCGCCGAACACGGCCCAAGAGGTCCCCAAGATCGCCCCTGGATGGCCTCATGAGCTCCGATTGGGCGTTCTTCGAGGCCTCCTGGGGCTGTCGTGGTCCCTCTTTGGGCGATGTGGACCCCTCCAGACTGCCCCAGGAGAGCCCCAGGGCGGCCGCAGAGGGCTCCCAGAATTCCCCCCAATGGTTTTCCAGCTCGGGCAGGCTCCGTGGACGGTAGGCCACGCGGCAGCCTGGGTCACGTACAACGCTGGAATCAGCGCGTGCGGGAAAGGCGAGCAGTGGCAGCGGGCTGGGGAGCTGTTCTGCGAGATGTGGGAGGCGAAGCTGGAGCCGGACGTCATCAGCTACACCGCTGGGATCGGCGCGTGGCAGCAGGCCCTGGCGCTGCTGGGCGAGATGTCGGAGGCGAAGCTTGAGCCCAACGTCATCTCGACTACACGGTGGGACTCAGCGCGTACGAGAGTGCCTCCGGTTGGGAAGGCCCCCCCCTCGCCGGTGCCAGAGGAGGCTTCGACGGCCCCACGCGGCTCCAGACGGCCTCAGTCGGCTTTGCAGTCCAGGACGAGCCGAGTCGCACCCGCAAGGCCCCGGAGAGGCCCACAGGGAGGCCACGATGACCTCGAGAGTCCCCCGAGCGATGTGCAAGAGAGCCCAAGATGGCCACGGGGTAGTCCCACGATGCAGCAATCGCAGTCAGTCCATGAGCAGCAGCAGCAGAGCTAGCAGGAACATCGGCCTAGAGGAGGCGAGAACCAGCAGCCAGCAGAAGCAAACTCACGAAAGCCCGAAGACAACACCAAGAGGGCCTCACAGGGACATGGGAAGCATACCAGCCAGCAAACGCAGCACACAAGCAGCAAGCAAGCAGCGAGCAGGCGGCAGAGCCAGCAAGCAGCAAGGAGCAGCGATCGGCTACATGATGGATCCACATGCGCAAGCAACAGCAAGCCACACCGACAAGCTAAGGCCGCAATCAGCAGCAATCAGCAGCATTGAGCGCCCAGAAGGAGCACGTGATAGCAAGTTCTCGAGAGGCCTCTCTAACGTCCAGCCAGCCCATGATGCGATTGCGCTGCGTGCCGACCTTCGCGTGCCATGAATGACCTGAGTCGCCGCCCCCATTTTCTGGCATCGGGGTGACGTGCCCAATCACAGCTCCGAGAGGCACCAACACAGGGCTCAATGAGAGTAGAAACCTGAAGAGGCGCCAACTAAGACGACCCCAGATTCCCCGCAAAAGTTTTTTTAGGCTCAAGAGGCTCCTAGAGACACTACACCCAAGGCGGTCCAGGATATCCCACAAGGTCTGAGACACATCCCACTGCCATTCCCAGCAGCAGCAGCATAGTCAGCAGCAGAGCCAGCAGCCGCAGCATCCAGCTGCAGCCAGCAAGCAGCAAGCAAAACGGCAAGCAACGTTCAGCAAGAAGCGGCAAGCGGACTCCGCGCGCAGCATCAGCAATCGGCATCATCAAATTATTCACTGCGTGGAGCTCCCCGTATGTGCATCTCATGTTTTATGTCATGCCATAGTGAGCGTCTGTTCATGAGCGCAATGACGAGCAAACCGCCTAAGACATTTCCGCAACATGCCCGCGAACGGGCCCGTGTCCTACCCCCGGCTCTCCTTAGGAATGCTCGTTGGGCATGAAAACAAGCAAACCGCCTGAGACATCCCCACAAACTGGCCGCGAACGGGCCCGTGCACACACCCCTGGCGGCTCCCCTTAGGGATGCTGAAACCAGGGCCACGCCTGAGGCATCCTCACAATCTGCTCTGAAAGCAGAAGATCTTGAGCATGAAAACAAGCAAACCGCCTGAGACATCTTCACAAACTGGCCGCGAACGGGCCCGTGAAAACACCCCTGGCGGCTCCCCCTAGGGGTGCTGAAACCAGCGCCCCGCCTGAGACACTTTCACAATCTGCTATCCAAGCGAAGGATGTTGAGCATGAGAACGAGCAAACCGCCTGAGACATTCCCACACAATGGCCGCGAACGGGCCTGTGAAAAACCCCTGGCGGCTCCCCTAAGGCGTGCTGAAACCAGCGCCCCGCCTGAGACATCTTCAAAACCTCATGTGAAAACCAAGGATGTTGAGCATGAGAACGAGCAAACCGCCTGAGACATCCCCACAACATGGCCGCGGACGGGCCCGTGCAAACACCCCCGGCGGCTCCCCTTAGGGGGTGCTGAAACCAGCGCCCCGCCTGAGGCATCCTCGCAATCTGCTCTGAAAGCAGAAGGATGTTGAGCATGAGAGCGAGCAAACCGCCTGAGACATCCCCACAAAATGGCCGCGAACGGGCCAGTGCAAACACCCCTGGCGGCTCCCCTTAGGGGTGCTGAAACCAGCGCCCCGCTTCAGACATCCTCACAATCTGCTCTCCAAGCGAAGGATGTTAAGCATGAAAACAAGCAAACCGCTTGAGACATCCCCACAACATGGCCGCGAACGGGCCCGTGCAAACACCCCTGGCGGCTCCCCTTAGGGGTGCTGAATCCAGCGCCCCGCCTGAGACGTCCTCCAAATCTGATGTGTGTTGAGTAAGTCAGACTACGGGAAGGTGTGAGTATGAGTAGGTCTGAGTATGAGTAAGTATGTGTATGAGTACGTCTGGGTATGAGTAAGTCTGAGTATAAGTTTGTGTATGAGTAAGTCTGGGTATGAATAATTCAGAGTATGAGTGAGTCCGAGTAGGAGGAGACGAGAAGAGGAGGGGACGAGAAGAGGATGGAGGAGGAGGAGTAGGAGGCGTCTAAGTAATAGCAATAACCCCATCTTAGGATATCGAGACTGAGTATGCGAAAGTCTGAGTATGACTTGGTTTGAGTATAAATGTGTCTGATCAAGAGAAAGTCTGAGTAGGAGTAAGTCTTAGTAGGACTAGGTCTGAGTATACATGAGTCTGAGTAAGAGTCAGCCTGTGCACGAGTAAGCTTGAGGAGGGAGACAGGAAGGAGGAGGAGGAGGGAGGAGAGGAGGGGTTCTGGTTCTGGTTGGAGCCGGCGCCGTCCAAGCAATGACAAGAACCCCTATCTTAGGATCCAAGTAATATCAAGAACCCTGTCTTGGTATTAACAAGAACCCACCAACCGACACAACGTGTGCGGGGGCGGCTGCCCACGCGCTCCTGGAGTGGGTCGGCCCTGGACGCCCCCGGACGGCCGCCCGAAGGCTCCGAGACGGCCCAAGACGGCTCAGCGCCACTCAGAGCGGGCGCCCGCGAGTCGCCAAAGAGCCTACACGACGGCCTCAGCACAAGCCCAGAGATTCCCAGGACGGCCCAAGAGCACCCCGAGGACGGCCCAAGACGGCTCAGGGCCGCTCAAGAGGGCGCCCGCGAGTCGCCCAAGAGCCTATACGACGGCCTCAACACAGGCCCAGGGATTCCCAAGACGGCCCAGGTGGACCCCGAGGACGGCCCGACGGGTTCAACCTCATCCTGGGGCGTTCCAGAGAGGTCCTTTGCCTTCAAGGGGCGAGCGAGCTGTCATCTCTTCCGCGGCGGGAAGTGGCGGAAGGGCGGCGGAAGGTCGACGAAAGTACAGCGAGGTGGCCTCCGCTGGCGGAGGCCGGCGGACGGCTGGCGGACGGCGGCGGAAGTAAAGAATGCCACCCCCAAGCGATGAAAACGTTTTAGGGCTCAGGGATTCCGGAATGTCGTGGTTTTTTACTCAATGTTTTGTCGATCGGCGCGGGCCCTCTCACACACCCCCCTGGAGTACAGGCGGCCCGGATTCGCAGGTCCACCCTGCCAGCTCAAGGGTACCCTCGTGCCCTCTGCCTTGCGACCCATGCCTCCCGCGTTTCTGTGGCGACGTGGCCCTCGGAAGGGTCTCGTGTCCTCTCGCGTGTCCTGCCCAATCGAGTCATTTGTGAGGCTGCGCTCCTTCTGTCCCCCCTCTGTGAATTCAAGCTTCGCGCGGCCCGCGTAGCTTCGACCGGAAGAGGTGCGCTCTCGACCCACGAATCAAAGAAAGTCCAGTCGAGTCCGACTGCAGCTCTTGGCCGTTTGGGGCGCCTGCCTCGAGCAGGCGGAGTCTCTCCCCCGCAGGCCGCGCTGTCTGCAAGCAGCAGCCGCACGGTCCCCCCCCCCTTTTCGCTCAACGTCGAAACGCCGAATAAGAAAGCGTTCACAATAAGAAAACGCTCACGAATAAGAAAACGCTCAAAACAATGAAGAACAAAACGCTCACCATTCGCTCACAAGAACACGCGAATAATAAACGCCGAATAAGAAAACGTCGAAACGCCGAATAAGAAACGCCGAATATACACATTATTCATTTCTAATTATTCGAAAGTTCTTTGATTTTGTTTGGGGGGCCAAGGTCATTTCATTTCTAATTGTGCTATCCTGGGCCGCTTCCTGGACACTCGGGGGCCAGGAACATTTTGAAACGAGCACCATTAGAAATGAGCACAAGTGGACATCAACGACGTGTACACATTTATCTTCTATCCTTAGGGTCTTTTTCAAAGATTTCCAGATTCTCCCCATACCGTGCCCAGAACAGCCCCAGACGGCTCGAGGACGCTCCCAGACCGTCGCAACCCGGCCCAAGAAGCCTCGATGAGAGCCCCAAGCGGGCTCAATAGCGCCCCAAGACGCCTACATGGAGTCTCGAGTTCCTCCAAAGATAGCCCCAAGAGGGCGCCAAGAGCTGCCCGCTAGAGCCCAAAGCGGCTCCAAGAAGGCCCTAGATCCCCAAGATGGTCCCAAGACGGCCCAGGAGGCCCCCAAGGCGACCCAATAGACACCCAAAATGGTCAAAGGGGCCCCCAGAGGCCACAGACAGGCCCCCAGCAAGCCCCAAAGGGGCTCCAGGAGGTGATGCAACCTAGCAGACGTTTCACAGAAACTCTTTTGGATTGACACGCTGTCTTGTTAACGGAATGTAAAACGTTCGGGCCTCTCGGGCACGTCTTCGAGTTACAGAGAAGCTCGCAGGGAGCTCCCAGGGGTGCCCAACTCCGAGAGGGCTTGACGATTGGCAGAATGCTTCCTGGTTGGATGTGTTGTTCTGTTCAATGTAGGTTCTATCTGGGGGGTTCTCTTGTGCGTGTCTTTGAGCACTGATGGAGCACCGAAGAGGCTCGCAGGGAGCACGGAGGGGGTGCGAAGAGCGATCCAAGACAGCCCAGGGAATCCCGAGGAGAGCCCCGAATGGCCCAACGAGTTTTGCTTGTTCTCGCCCGCACTGTTCCAGTCGGACGCAACATGCACTGCGCTTGCACAGGGGCTATCGGCGCGAGCGGTTCCGTCAATGCGGACGATGAGGCGTTAGGCTGGCCGCCCGTGTACTGACGCTACGAGCTCCGACGAGCTCGACAGCTGGTCTAAGAAAGAATGACCCCAGAGTGATCTCCAAATTTTCACAGAAACCTCTTCCTGGTGGGACGCGCTGTTCTCAAACTTCTGCCGATTTGGAGGCACTCCTGCACGCTTCCTGGAGCTCCAGAGCTTCGACGAGCCGTTCGGCTTCGACGAGCTGTTCTATGACCCGAGTGCACGGCATGCGAGCCCCAGGTTCCGCACGCCGTAGCTTTAATCCACGGGTAAGCACTAGTCTTTAGTCGGGCCTGTCCCTCTACAGGGGGTATATTAAAAAATAACAGAACAATAGCTTGGGGACTTTTTTACCTAACAGCTTTTGCTGATAGGTTTCTAGTGGGGTCAAAAGAGAGCAGCAGATGACTCCTCAGGGGGGTCTGGGCGGGTGCCGGGGAGGAGAACCGGGAATCGTTTTTCGCTAACAGTCACACACTTCGTGTTCTTCGATCTCCCAGAACTCCATTCCCGGGACACATTCTGGAGAACCGGGAACAGAGCAGGGCTCGCTTTTCGCCAACAGTCACACACTGCATGCTCTTCGACCTCCCAGAACTCCATTCCCGGGCTACATTTTGGATGCCCGGAGCCAACTGTAGGCCACTTCGTGGTCTTCGAGTTCCCAGAACTCCATTCCCGGGCCTCATTTTGGATGCCCGTTTGGATGCCCGGAGCCAACTGTAGGCCACTTCGTGGTCTTCGAGTTCCCAGAACTCCATTCCTGCGCATGATTTTGAATGCCCGGAGCCAACTGTAGGCCACTTCGTGTTCTTCGAGTTCCCAGAACTCCATTCCCGGGCCACATTTTGAATGCTGAGGCAGGCTGATGCTGAGGCTGAGGCAGGCTGAGGCTGAGGCAGGCTGAGGCTGAGGCCGAGGCTGAAGGCAGACTGAGGCTGAGGCTGAAGCAGGCTGAGGCTGAGGCTGAGGCAGGCTGAGGCTGAGGCTGAGGCAGGCTGATGCTGAGGCAGGCTGAGGCTGAGGCTGAGGCTGATGCAGGCTGAGGCTGAGGCAGGCTGAGGCTGAGGCCGAGGCTGAAGGCAGACTGAGGCTGAGGCTGAAGCAGGCTGAGGCTGAGGCTGAGGCAGGCTGAGGCTGAGGCAGGCTGAGGCTGAGGCTGAGGCAGGCTGAGGCTGAGGCTGTGACTGTGACTGCCGTTGCCACTGCGACTGTCATCGCGAATGCGACTACGACTGCGAGAACAGCAGAATTCTACAACTGGATTATCATCTGAATCTTAAGGGGAGTGCTTCCAGATATGCTCCTACACATCGCTGTTAGGTTGCTTTGCCGGGATAATTTGACTATGTTTGAGCATGTCTGGAGTATTTTTTGACTATTTCTGATTTTTCGCTCAAAATCCCCCTGTGGGGGAGCAGGCCCGACCTAACACTAGTCAGCTACAGCGCTGGGATCAGCGCGTGCGAGACGGGCGGTCGGTGGCAGCAGGCCCTGGCGCTGCTCGGCGAGATGTCGGCAGCGAGGATCGAGACCAACGTTGTGATTTACACCGGAGGGATCAGCGCGTGCGAGATGATGGGCCTGTTTTCCACCACCACCATAAGTTGGAGGGGGGAAGGAGGAGGAGGAGGAGGAGGAGGGAAGAGGAGGAGGAGGAGGAGGAGGAGGAGGAGGAGGAGGAGGAGGAGGAGGAGGAGGACCCCTTCCCCCCTCCAACCCATGGTGGTGGTGGTGGAAAACAGGCCCATCAGAGAAGGGGGGTCAGTGGCAGTGGGCTCTTGCGCTGCTCCGCGAGATGTCGGGGGCGAGGGTCGAGACCAATCCCATCAGCTACAGCTCCGGGATCCTCGCGTGCAGGAGGGGCGGGCAGTGGCAGCGGGCTGTGGCACTGGTCAGCGAGATGTGGCAGGCGAAAATGGAGCCCGCCGTCGTCTCCGTTTCAATGTTGGGCAGGCTACGTGCGATAAGTACAGGACAAGTTTCTGACGGCTGAAGCCTGCTCCAAGACGACCCATGGCTGGCCAGGCAGAGGTTTCCAGGCTGGCCGCAAAACACTCTGGGGCTTCAAGTGCTTGAAGATGGCCCCAGGGTGTCTCAAGATGCCTCCGCTGCGGCCCAAAAGGGCCCCAGGATGGATAGCCCAAGAAGGCCCACGCAGATCCCAAGACGAACTAAGACCAGAGACGGTCCAGAGTGCCTTCAGAGGTTTCAGAACTGTCCCGGTACCTTCCGCCAGCAGCCAGCAGCAGGATCCATTGGCAGCAGCATCAGGGTCAGCAGCAGCATAGCCACCAGCATCAGTAGCCAGCAGCAGCAGCAGCAGCAGCAGCAGCAGGGTGCAGCACGCCGAGTCAGCATCCAGTAGCAAGCCGTACGCGTTCGAGCAGCTGCAGAGCCGGAAGCAGCGAAGCCAAGAGTACGTAGCAGGGCCAGCAGCAAGCACCGGCCAGGAGCAAACGGCAGCAGCAAGCAGCAGACGTCACAGCTAGAGCAAGCGGCACAATCAGCGGCAACACAAGCAGCAGGCAGCAGCATGCAGCAGAAAGCAGCAGCACCAGTAAGTAGCAAGCAGCTGCAGTGGCCCTTCCCAGCAGATAGTAACAGACGCAAGGCAGCAATCAGCCAGCAGCGGGCAACAGCAACAGGCCGCACCATCAGTGCAAAGTGGCATCAGACAGCAGCAGGCAGGAGCTCGCAGTAGACAGCAACAATCACCATCAACCAGCAACCATCAAGCAGCAGTAGCCAAGCAAACATCAGATATCATAAGTATGTCCTGGCAAGCAGCAGCTAGCAGCAGCATGCAGCAGCAAGCAGCGGCAATCGGCATCACACATCAGCAAGCTTCAGCAATCTTCAGCAAGTGGCACAGCGAACTCAGGGACAGAACTAAGAACATGATCGAGCAGGAACACGAGCAGGAATGGGAAGGAGAGGAGGAGGAGGGGTAGGAGGTGGAGGATGGTGAGGTAGGATGAGGGGTCCTTCGGAACCCTCTATGGCTTCAGGACCCTGCCAGAAGGCCCCTTTAATCGCCTAGCCAACCCATCAGCCAGCCGTGCTGCAGTTTAACCCTCGCGTGCCAAGCATCAGCGGAGCTGCCATCCGCATCGATTAAACTCGGTGTGACGTACCTTTGAGTACAATTCCAGCAACGGGTGTGCACGAGTAAGCTACTGCGCTGTGATCGACGCGTGTGAGCAATGCGTGCAGTGGCATCGGGCACTGGCGCTACTCATCGAGATGTGACAGGCGAAGCTGGAGCCCGACGTCATCACCACTGCCATCATCACCATCATCATCATCATCATCACCATCATTTGCATCTTCATAATCATCACCACCATCATCATCATCATCACCATCATCATCATCATCATCATCATCATCATCATCATCATCATCATCATCATTATCATCATCATCATCATCATCATCATCATACTCAAACTCATCGTCATCATCTTCATAATCAGCATCATCATCCTGCTAGCCGTCCTCTGCAGTACCGATCATCACGTGCGCGATGTGAGACGCCTCTTCCGGAGCGCTCACGGCGGTCACACGTGCAGGCTGAAATCTTGATTTTCTGCGAGTGAATGTAGAGCCTTCACATGCATCATATATTGAAGTCCCTCGGAGTCGATGTCACGGTTGTCGAGGCGCGACTGATTCCAATCTCTCAGACACGAATGCAGGTGGCACAGTCGAGATCTACGAGTTCGCCGCTGGAGTAATGAAGCTGCATGGTTCGGCCAAGGCGGTCGACATAACAATAATGACATGCAGGATGATTGGCATGAACACCATACTCAAGCAGATGTCATGCGCTGGAGTCGCATGGTTTCGAGTCTGGCGGCCTGAGACAGTGCAGGATACGACCTCGCTGATGACATGGACATGGTCGACGTAAGCTCGAGGCATCTGGACTTGCATGCCCTGCGCGTGTCTGATGAGTTGTGCCATATGCATGCGCTTTCTGTTTAAGGCCTCAGAGTCAATTCCATATTCCAGTTGACATTGCGTATGGCTGAATAGTTGGCTTAACATGAGACTCAATCTATACCTTACCTCGGACTGCATCTTCGACTCAATGCGTGGCATCTGTAATTCGTGCTGGAATGCTGATGCCAAACAAGTAGGGGATGCGATGCAGGGGTACTGGGATCTGTAAGAGTATTGGAGGGTGGCAGTCGGGGATCGCTGTGTTTTTTGTTTAAAAACATGTTTTGTTTTTTTCCTGCACACGCCAGCAACTTACGCACTGCTGGTTGTTGTCCTCCTCGCGGGGAGCTGGGCAGAGATGCGGACGGATTGCCGAGCGGAGGGGCCTTGGGCCGTTTGACGCAGCCGCCGTCCTTAAAGGGGCCGCGTCTGGAGCCACGCACGGGCGAGGGGAGGAGGGGTTGTGGGACGCAGGCCGCTGTCCTCGAGAGGGCCAGCGCCTGGAGCAGCGCGCGGGCGAGGGGAGGAGGGGCCGTGGGACGCAGGCCGCTGGCCTCAAGAGGGCCGCGCCTGGAGCAGCGCGCGGGCGAGGAGGGGCCGTGGGACGCAGGCCGCTGTCCTCGAGAGGGCCGCGACTGGAGCAGCGCACGGGCGGGGGCCGGGAGGGAACTCTTGCGGTGGAGGGGGGGGGCGCAGCAGCTCTCGGTCCAGAAGGGGGAGGAGGAGGTCTCCGGGGACGGGGAGGGGAGGCGCCGCACTGGGCACCTCCTTCTCCTCCTCGTCCTCCTCCTCCTCCTCGTCCTCCTCGTCCTCCTCGTCCTCCTCGTCCTCCTCCTCCTCCTCGTCCTCCTCGTCCTCCTGGTCCTCCTCCTCCTCCTCGTCCTCCTGGTCCTTTCGATCCTTTCGATATCGGGCCTATGTTTCAGCTCGCGAGAGACGTGCCCGTTCAGATGATCACCTCCAGGGGGGCGCCGAACGAGTTCTTCACGATCCCGGGCGCCTCTCCGCCTCGAAGTGGCCATCCACATCCTCGTGAAAGCAGAAGGCGCACCTTCTTGTGGGGCTTGGGGGGGTCGTCGCCGCTGCTCCGCTTGCTCTCCTCGGGCGCGCCCTCGTCGCCAGAGGAGTCGGACAGGAGGTCCTGGTCGCTCGGCTCGGAGGCCTCGTGCGCGCTGTCCTCGTCAAGGAGGTAGCTCAAGAGGTCTTTCATCATGTGCACTGCCTCTTGGAAGCGGGCGGCGTCGACCTTGTCTGATGCGTAGATGGATATCGTGGGTACGGCCGCAGCCGCGCTGGGGAAAACTCTCACTCCCTGTTCCCGCTCTACGAACTGGTTGTGGTGCTTCGCCTGGTCGAAGATGCGATTGATGTCAACTCCTTCGCACGCGATGTGGTGCTGGTGCGCCCGCTGGCGCCTGGCCCAGTCCATCGCGGCCTTCACTTTGGGGGACGGCTCGACGGGGTCGCTCTCGTTGTTCATCTCGTTTTGTGGGGGCCCGTTTGGGGGGGGCCAGTCCCGCCGTGAGGCCGATCCACTGCAGGTACTTGGTATGACGAAGCTGTCGGTTACCTTCTCCCCGTCCAGCTCCCTGTTCGTGCCGTGCAGCGCCTTCTGCTCGCTCGTCTCGTTGGTCTCGAACGGCGGGGGGCCGTTTTGGAGGGCCCAATCCCACCGTGAAGCTGATCCACTGCTGGTACTTGGTATGGCGACGCTGTCGAGCGCGTTCTCCCCACAAAGCTCCCTGTTCGTGCCGTACATCGCAAGGTGGGTCTTGCTGTCGTAGCCGTCGTGTTCGCCGTAGTCGTAGCCGTCGTAGCTCGGGGGGCCCTTTAAGGGGGGCCAATCCCGCCGTGAGGCCGATCCACTGCGGGTACTTGGTATGACGAAGCTGTCGTCCGCGCTCTCCCCATCAAGCTCCCTGTTCGTGCGGTGCAGCGCCTGGTGGGTCTCGCTGTCGTAGCCGTCGTAGCCGCCGTAGCCGTAGCCGTCGTAGCTCTCGTGGTCCTCTTGGTCCGCGTCGGAATCGTACTCTATCTTCTCAGTGGCCGATCGTGCTCTCCGCATTTCGTCCTCCAGCTCCTCCTTGCTGGGCGGGGGGCGGAGGCTCGGCCGCCAGCCGTCGTAGGAGCGGAGGTCGCTGTTGCCGACGTTTTCGCGCTCGTCGGTGGAATCGTAGCCGCCGTCGTCGTGGTAGCCGTCCTCCGTCATCCCGAACGCCTCCACGAAGGGCGACTCTTCCGCATCCTCGGACTGGTCTGGGTCCCCGTGGTCGTAGCTATCGTGGTCGTAGCCGTCGTAGCCGTCGGGGTCGCCGTGGTTGTAGCCGTCGTAGCCGTCGTCCTCGTTGTCCCGGCTCCGGCGCGCGACGGCCGCGCGCAGCGCCTGCTCCGCCACCTGGGAGAGGTTGGCGTCTGTCGGGTAGGCGACGCCAGGCACGCTCCGCGCGCCGTGATGGGCGGCCTCGGCGGCGGCTCCACTCAGAGGTGTCGGCGGCGAGGCGGTCCAGCAGCCCGGTGGTACCTCCACGACGACGTACTTGTAGTTGGCCCCAGGGAGGCTCGGCCGTCCGAGGCGGGGGCCCGCCGCCACCTTGGCAAGCGCAGCCTGGGTGGCGTGCGTGAAGCCTCCCTCCGGGGCGTCGGCGGCGTGCCATGCCGCGTTGCGCCTCCGACGCGCGGCGCCAGGCACCCTTCTGCGAGATGCAAGGGCCTGGAGCGCTGGTCGCGAGGCGTCCTCGCGGTCCCGCCAGGACCCCGGCGCGTGGTCGTGGCGGCTGCCGCGGGCCCTGCGGAGGGCCGCCTCGCAGGCCAGACGGGCACGCGCACGGGCCGCGCGCCGAGCCGCAGACGGCCCTGCGGCGGCCGCCTCGTCGGCACGGAGTGGTCCGGGCAGCCAGCTGTTGGTGCGGCCGCCCCCCGTAGCCATGATCCGCGCGCGCGCAGGGGGAAAGAGACTGAGCCGCTCTCTGTGCCTGCCGAGATGACAGGGCTCTGCAGGGAGAGGCACGGTGCGCTCCTCCTGCCACGCGCCCAGGCAGGCTTGAGCCAAAATGGCTTGAGCCAAAATGGCTACGGACCGTCCTCCTGGTCCTCCTCCTCCTCCTCCTCCTGCGAACTCTGTGGAGGGCAGCCGTGGACGCGAGCGGTTGCGTGGAAGAGGCCGTGTGACGCAGGCCTGCTGTTTTCCGAAGGGGTATTCTCATCGGGCATCGGGCGGTAGAGTAGGTTAGATGGCGTCGGCCTCTCCAGGGCGATTTTTGCCCGGGCTGCTGCAGAAGCGGTCCCTGACGAGGATACGGCAGTAGGGGAGGTCACGCTGCCGAACCGCACCATTTCTGCAAGTCGGTGACAGTTCCGGGCGCGGGTGTGCAAGGGGGGCGCAGTGCATTTAGGAAAAGAGGACTTGGTCATGTGGGACACCATGAGCATAATGACCGGGTCTTGGTGCCTCAGGCGCTTTTCAAGTGTGTGTGTGTGTGTGTGTGTGTGTGCATGTGTATGTGCTTGCTTGTCACACGCGCCGGAAAGAGGAGAAAGAAGAGGATGATAGGAAACGGGCGCGCAGCACCAGGAGGAGGAGGAGGAGGAGGAGGAAAGAAGCAGGCCAGGGGCAATGAGGCCATGTGGTCCGAGCCTCGAAATGCCAATCCGTGTTCTTTCGCGCTGGCGTTGTCAAACAAGTAAGAACATTCAGTCTGCTAACCAGGGCGAATCCTGAGACGTCCGCCGGCTCGACCCGCTTGTCGTACCCTGTCGAGGTTTAGCCAGGAGTCGGCAAGACACGAATGGAGCCCCCCATAATGGGGTACGGCCAATGGCGAACGGGTCGGGTGTCCAGGCTCGTTGAGCGACACGTGGGCGTTGCGGATTCAACCGTCGTGACATTTGTTTTGAGTTCTTGCTTTTCGCAACAATGATTCGTGTTGAGCCCCCGTCCAGTGCACCTTCTGTTTTGCAAATTGAAGTACCCTTCCCAGGGTTGCGGAGGAAGCATGTTGCCAAATAATTTCCAGATGTCTAAAACACGTGTTAAACATGTTTCAGCAAGTAAACACATGTTTGACATGTTCAGAACACTTTCCGACATTTTACACACTTGTTAAATTCAATGGTCGGACCGTTAGGGTGTTTATTGTTGTGGCATCCACAAGATTAGTGTTGATCCCCCCCTCCAGTGCACCTTCTGTTTTGCAACTGAAGTGCCCCTCCCAGGGCTCGCACCCCGTTCATTTTCTAAGGGAAGGTCTTGCGCCTCAGACTTTGCCCCTGGCCGCGAGGCTTACAGCAACAACGGCTGCCGCCTT